TGGTCATCAACATCTCGGGGCTGCGCTTCGAGACGCAGCTCAAGACCCTCTGCCAGTTCCCGGAGACGCTGCTGGGCGACCCCAAGCGGCGCATGCGGTACTTCGACCCGCTCCGCAACGAGTACTTCTTCGATCGCAACCGGCCCAGCTTCGACGCCATCCTCTACTACTACCAGTCCGGGGGGCGCATCCGGCGGCCGGTCAACGTGCCCATCGACATCTTCTCCGAGGAGATCCGCTTCTACCAGCTGGGCGAGGAGGCCATGGAGAAGTTCCGCGAGGACGAGGGCTTCCTGCGGGAGGAGGAGCGGCCCCTGCCCCGCCGGGACTTCCAGCGCCAGGTGTGGCTGCTCTTCGAGTACCCCGAGAGCTCCGGGCCGGCGCGGGGCATCGCCATCGTGTCGGTGCTGGTCATCCTCATCTCCATTGTCATCTTCTGTCTGGAGACGCTGCCCGAGTTCCGGGACGAGAAGGACTACCCGGCCCCGCCGCCCTCGTCGCCCGACGCCTTCGAAACGGCGGGCAATGGCACGTCGGGGTCCCCCGCGGGAGCCTCCAGCTTCTCGGATCCCTTCTTCGTGGTGGAGACCCTGTGCATCATCTGGTTCTCCTTTGAGCTGCTGGTGCGCTTCTTCGCTTGCCCCAGCAAAGCCACCTTCTCCCGGAACATCATGAACCTCATCGACATCGTGGCCATCATCCCTTACTTCATCACGCTGGGCACCGAGCTGGCCGAGCGACAGGGCAACGGACAGCAGGCCATGTCCCTGGCCATCCTGCGGGTCATCCGCCTGGTGAGGGTCTTCCGCATCTTCAAGCTCTCCCGCCACTCCAAGGGCCTGCAGATCCTGGGGCAGACCCTGAAGGCTTCCATGCGTGAGCTGGGGCTGCTCATCTTCTTCCTCTTCATCGGGGTCATCCTCTTCTCCAGCGCCGTCTACTTCGCCGAGGCGGACGACCCCACCTCGGGTTTCAACAGTATCCCGGATGCCTTCTGGTGGGCCGTGGTTACCATGACGACGGTGGGGTACGGCGACATGCACCCGGTGACCATCGGGGGCAAGATCGTGGGCTCCCTGTGCGCCATCGCGGGCGTGCTGACCATCGCCTTGCCCGTACCCGTGATCGTCTCCAACTTCAATTACTTCTATCACCGGGAGACAGAGGGGGAAGAGCAAGCCCAGTACATGCACGTGGGGAGCTGCCAGCACCTGTCGTCCTCAGCTGAGGAGCTCCGCAAGGCGCGGAGTAACTCCACCCTGAGCAAGTCCGAGTACATGGTGATCGAAGAGGGAGGCCTGAACCACAGCGCCTTCCCCCAGACCCCTTTCAAAACAGGCAACTCCACCGCCACCTGCACCACGAACAATAACCCCAACTCCTGCGTCAACATCAAAAAGATCTTCACGGATGTCTAAGGCTGCGTGACGTGAGTGGCAGAGTGTGCTGGGTGTCGTGTGTGCAGCGTGCCCCCTGGGTCTGCGTGTGCCCCTGTTTTGTACATTTCCAGACCACTCATCCAGAGAAGGACCCCCGAGGAAGTGGGATGCCTTCTCTCCGTGGCTTCACCCTGGAAACAGGTGCCTGTTTTCGAATGGGCTACATTCTCTCTTTCATTTTTCTCTCCTTCTCCCTCCCTCCACCCCCGCCTTTTTTTTTCTTTTTGCCGGTCCTGGGGCTTGAACTCAGAGCCTTGGGCCCCTCTCCCTTTGCTTTTTCGCTCGAGGCTGGTGCTCTACCACTTGAGCCACACCTCCACGTCAGGCTTTTTGGTGATTAATTGGAGATAAGAGTCTCACAGACTTTCCTGCCGGGGACTGGTCTTGAACCACAGTCCTCGGGATCTCAGCCTCTTGAGTAGCTAGGATTACCAGTGTCAGCCACCAGTTTCTGGCCTTCCCCCTCCGATAATTTTGTGAACAAACTGACACTAAACTTGTTTTCTCGTACACACCCTATATTAAAAAAAAATTTTTTTAAGTATATCCTGGGAGGAAACGAAACTAAACAGTTGAGTAACTGTTGAACCTCAAAACTAAAATGGACTTGTTTCTTTACTAAGCAAAGCAGGCAAATACTTAAGTGATAGACATTACTTAAATTGCCTGCCCTTTGAATATATGGATGAGCAATCTAACTAGAACTGTGACTTAGAAGCAAGTCATACGTTTATTTGGTTTTGACTGGAAGTTTCTATTTGAATCTCTCATCCCCGAATCTTAAACTTCTTAACTTTGAGCAAAGGGAAATACTCAACCCCCAAATCCCCCTCCGACTAGTTACTTTAACTCTTTGGAGTTTGCTAAGCATTGCAAAAGTATTAGACTAACAGATTTGGGTGAGGTTCCACGTGTATGTCCCAGAAAACATCTACCAAAGTCTAAAGACAGATGTTTCCAGTGCTGCTGAGAAGCAACAACAACAACAACAACAACAATTCTAATGCATCTGAGAGATAAGCTTTTGCAGTATCACAAGAAGATTAAAGTGGCAGACACTCCTTCCAGCGGAAGTTACTAATTCGGACCTGACTGATGCAGTTACCATAGCAACCCATGTTTCCTGGGAAACCCGAAAAAGGTTGTCATGGCATCTTTTGCTCTCTAGCCCCACCCCACCTTTCCTGCCCCTGTTGTTTCCACAAAAACCTTTCCAGATGGTTCCTACTTTATGTGATTTCATAAAGTAAAGCACTATTTGAATAAACCACACAAAGTTATGTCTGAAAATACATGGAGGTGAAAGGAATCATGAAATGTTTCTATTTCTATGTAAATCGTCCACCCTTGTGACCCCCTGTGACTGAACCAAGAAGGAAAATATCTTTGAAATGTTTCCATAAGCCCCAATAAGGCATGACATGAATTAAATGCCAGTTATCCGGCAATAATTTTAGAAGATGCTTCTCTGCAATTTTCTAAGAAGTGATAATCCAACAAATAAAATGAAAAGCCAATGTAAACATTGTCTGCACATAAGCCAAGGAGAGATTCAGTGTACCTGAATCTTACCACAAGAGACCTTCAGATCTCCTTGTTAACATAAATAAAAGAAAAATCCAAATTGCACATCAGAACTGTCACCACCACACTTGACAAGCAAAATTAACATCAAATATAAACAAATGCACCTTTTTAATGAGGAAATCACAGACAATAACAAGGATTGGGAATCTTCAGGAAATGCCTGCAAGTTTCAGCCACATGCTAAGGGCTGCCAGCAGACAGCCAGCATCAGGTGAGCTCTGCATGGTCCCTTTCTATATGGGGAAACTGGGAGGTGTCATTCATAGCTAGATTCATTCCTGGATTAGGGGCATTGTGAAACAGATCATTTTACATTAAGTTCCTTTTAAAAGATCATTTATAACATCTTTTCCATTTGTCCCATGTGACTAATTATCCTTTGGTTTCCATTGTTTGTCTCAAAATGATGACACTCTCTTCAGAACAACTTTCACCCAAGCTGAACTGAAGATTACTCCATTAATTTGCCAAACACTTGGTTTCTCAACAACCTGTTTCCCATTTTTTAAAAAAATAAATAAATAATGGGCAGAATCTGCAGCTGTTAGATTACTGGTCCAATTTTAATTTGCATAATTACTATCAGTAGCACAATTCTTTGAAACAGTTAAAATGGAAATAATAGTAACATTCAAATATGATCATTTTGTTTCATCCATATTACATAAATTATACATGATACAGAATTGCTTTTTGGTTTTGATGCTCAATTACTCTGACCTACTGTTAATAGCCCTGATTTTAAAATTCATGATATATTTTCAGGTATTTAGAAACCTAACTACTTTATGTGCATTTGAAAGACTGGGAAATAAGTATTGGAAATGTAAGAAAGGGAAGAGGAAAGCAATCTGTATATACCTGGTTGCTGCTTGTCTTTATCTATGTATATGTGTCTAAACAAGATACTTTTATATATATTCTCATTTGCTTTTTTGAGTTATTTTAAATATTGATCTCTTTGAACCAACATTTGGTTATTCTTAGTGACCAGAAATTCCATTTATGACTCATTTTTGAACATTTTAGAAATAGCAATTCTATAAAAATAATTTTGGTGTCTGTTCTTAAAAGAGCTTAACATAAAGGTGACAATTCTATTCACATGTATTCTGAAGATGTAAAAACCTAGATTCTTACATAAGAACAATTCAGAAGGGATCTTTTATTTCTTATCTAGAGAAATAGCACAGGTTTTCCACCTCATAATCCTGAGGTAATAGAATTGCTTCTAGTCGCCATATTGGAATCTCCTTAAAGGTTATAGGTCCTGTATCTTGAGTTTTTTTGCCTTTGGATATTTGATATTTTGTAATCTAGTGCCTATCACAGCAAGTAGCACCCTGCATGTTTGTTGAATGAATCCTACTCTCCTAATTGACAGATTTTTAATAAAATGGTTGAAGGAGAAAGCTCTGCAGGGTTTGAATTCTGACTGCTGTATGACCTTGAGCAAGTTACATAACCTCTCTGTTCACTGGTTTGTAATAGGAAGGCAGCAGTATTTGTAATATGAAGATAATAAGTACTTCGTACAGGTACTATAAAATGTGTTATCACAGGTAGAACATTTAGATAAATTAAATTACATGACATGCATCAAAGACTTTACTGAGATTAAATTATTTTTAATCGTTGCTCATGAGCACATGAATCATCATTGTCTTCCTATTTTATGACAGTAGTAATTGCCATTTATTAAGGGTCATTGATGTCCTGAGCACTTGTCAGTTCTTCAAGATAAGTGTCATTAACTTCATTTTAGGATGAAAAAGACATGATTGAGGTCAGTGATTTCCCTGCCTTCACAGTGAACAAAAGCCCAGCAACAATTAAAAAGCAGATCATCCTGGTGCCAAAACCCAGACTACTTTTATTGCCTGACTTGAAAGATAAAATAAATCCCTTATGGCTTTTAAGATTGGCTTTCCATGCTACTAATTAATAAACTCAAGTAAAGAAACATTATCTCCAGAAACCTATTTCAGTATACTGAAAATTAACCCTTTCCTAATAATCAGGTATTTTTAACCAGGAGAATCAAATGTAAGTTATTGAAACTAGAGAGAGAGTAATAGAAGATTGCTTTTTTCATGATGGATGAATCTGAATGTAATATTAGAAAGCATCATCAGTCAGACTTCAGTAATAATTCCTAGGACAATGGATATTTCTCAGTTTTGAGGTGAATATCCTGTTTAATATGCTTTAATCAACAGTGTAGGGTACTTTTATGGAATTTTAAATTTTTTCTTCTCCACGGCTTTGCTGAGGTTGTTGAAGGCCTATGAGAGAATTCAGTGTAAACATTTTGACTCTCCCTTATGGAAAAGGGAAGAACAGGAGGATTGAAAGCAGGAGTTAGCCAGAAAATTGAAACATCTCAGGTTACTCTCTTACCCAGACACCCCCATACATTTTTAAGAGAATCTGTGCTCTAAACAAAGGAAAACATCAGGATTTAATTTTGTCATGCATACTTGCTTTAGCACCTTCGCAAAGGCCCTGCATAATGTACCAAAATGAAAATGGATGGTGATTTGGACTTAAAGCATAATGCTAATGAGTCTGCATTTGCCTATGCCTGTTAACTTTGCCCAACTAGAGTCTACACTATTGAGCACAACTGAACATCTTAGATGTTGAAAGAGTGCACACATGTCTCTGTGTAGCTAGATTCTTGTGGGGAGAATCACTGCTCTCCGTCAGCACCCATGGGGAAATGTATACAGCTTAGAGCTGGTGATCCAGAGAGAAACATGGACTTCAACATTTGCTAGTGTTCAATTCTTTTACAATGTTACAACAGATATGCCAGATTTCAATATGCACCAATTGTGGTGACACAGCCACAAACAGCTACACATAAAAGCATGATTTCCCTTATATCTAATCTTCTAAGTAAAATCTCAGGATTGAAATTTTAAAAAGGAATCCAGGGGCTGGGCAGGTAGCTCAGTGGTAGAGTGCTTGCCTCGCATGCATAAGGCCCTGGGTTTGATTCCTCAGCACCACATAAGCAGAAAACGCTGGACGTGGAGCAATGGTTCAAGTGGTAGAAAACTATCCTTGAGCTGAAGAGCTAAGGGACAACACCCAGGCCCAGGGTTCAGGCCCCACAACCAACAAAAAAAAAATCCAAAGTTATGGTTTGTTTACCTAAAATTGATTCCTCTGTTAAATGCTGTTCATATAATATAGAAATACAGCATATAGAACATTTACCAATACTTGACTCCTTTAAAAATCATAACTATAATTTATATATATATTTATATATATTTAAAATAGCAGCATTTTCTACAGCAGTTCCAAGTCTTTCTCACCTCTGAGCTGTGAATAGAAGTGCTAACTCCTCTCAGTAAGAAATGCAAAGAGTCTCACATGTTTCCCCCCTCCCAACCTGAGGGCATACAGAAACACTGAGAGATAGAGGTGAGGAGCCCAGAAGGAGGAAGAGGATATTTAGAAATTGTGTTTTGGGGTGGGATTTTATTTTCTTTTTGTTCTGGTTTATATTTTTACAAACTTTTAAAATAACGTAGATACAAGAAATGGTTGTATATTGCTAATTTTCTGTAGTATAATGTGGCAATTTTAGAA